CCAATCACGTGCCTGGTATCTGTTATCGTAATTGCGTCTTCATGCACATTCATACTAATCACGTGCCGGGTATCTTTTAACGTAATTGCGTCTTCATGCACATTCATACTAATCACGTGCCGGGTATCTTTTAACGTAATTGCGTCTTCATGCACATTCATACTAATCACGGGCCTGGTATCTGTTAGCAGTGATCTGAAGGCTTCGCCGATGGAGACGCTGTGGTCATGTAAGCTCATCAGTGGAGTGATTGTGCACGCACGAATAAGTAAGTCTCTTTCGGCTATGCAAAGAGTAGCTGTAATGTATTAGAGAGTATACCTATATGTGTATGCAAGTAAATGTATATGCTCGTATACCGGTTAATAAGTAAGTCTCTTACTGCTAAGCAAAGGGTAGCTGTAATGTATTAGAGAGTATGCCTACATGTGTATGCAAGTAAATGTATATGCTCATATACAGGTTAATAAGTGAGTCTCTTTCTGCTAAGCAAAGGATAGCTGTATTATATTAGAGAGTATACCTATATGAGTATGCAAGTAAATGTATATGCGCGTATACACTTTAATAAGCAAGTCTCTTTCTGTTGAGCAAAGGATAGCTGTATTGTATTAAAGAGTATACCTATATATGCTCGTATACACTTTAATAAGCAAGTCTCTTTCTGTTGAGCAAAGGATAGCTGTATTGTATTAAAGAGTATACCTATATATGCTCGTATACACTTTAATAAGCAAGTCTCTTTCAGTTGAGCAAAGGATAGCTGTATTGTATTAGAGAGTATACCTATATATGTATGCAAGTAAATGTATATGCTCGTATACAGGTTAATAAGTAAGTTTCTTTCTGCTAAGCAAAGGATAGCTGTATTGTATTAGAGAGTATACATATGTGTATGCAAGTAAATGTATATGCTCGTATACAGGTTAATAAGCAAGTCTCTTTCTGTTGAGCAAAGGATAGCTGTTATGTATTAGAGAGTGCATCTACATGCGTACCCAAGTAAACGTACACACTTGTACACAGTTTGAGTATAAACTCGCCGTGCATATTTAGGTGCTTCGGTACCCGATTGGTTCTATCCACACACACACACACAAACACACACACACACACACTTCAATTCACCTCTCATTCATGTTTAATCTCAATAGAATCCGGGGAGATCGCTGGCGTCACTCTGAGCGAACACGTGGTCGATACTTACCGTAGCACCTCCTCAGCCGCTGGAGAGCGACTACGAGAGATCGTCAGTGCCAATGCATGTGTGCTGTATGCACCATCGGCAAACGACCACACACCGGCTGAGCCTGTGCAGGGAGTGGCCAGGAAGAAGAACGGAGGTGCGTGTGCCGTAGTGTGTGTGTGTGTGTGTGTGTGTGATTGAATGGATGAATGAATGAATACTATGCAGTGGTGCGTTTGGCTGTAGTGTAGTACTGTGGTTGTGGTTGACTGTTGTATCCACCTATGTCTATAAACACCATCTACCTATCACTAGTACACCATCCACCTATCACTAAACCATCCACCTATCACTAATACGCCATGCACCTATCACTAATGCACCATGCACCTATCACTAATACACTATCCGCCTATCACTAATGCACCATCCACCTATCACTATTATACCATCCACCTATCACTAATACACCATCCACCTATCACTAATATACCATCCACCTATTACTAATATACCATCCACCTATCACTAATATACCATCCACCTATCACTTATACACCATATACACCATCCACCTATCACTAATATACCATCC